TGCTCATGAGTACACGAGAAGGTGGAAAGACATCACACGCAATTGAATTGCTCTTGACTGACGATGCAACTGGAGAGTCAAAGGTATTGGTTGGTGCACATCCGCAGCTAGGAGAAAAGATATCCGAAAAGGTATTGCAAATGGGTTTGCTACGAGATGTTATAAATTATGGTCCAGCGAAACTGGATTTAAGCAAGAGATCTTCATCACCGAAAAAGAAGAAAGCGAAATCAAATATAGATGCTGAAGAGCAAAAGGAAGGCACTATACTCAGGAGACAAGTCACATATGGCGATTCACGAGTAGACTATGAACTCACTGATTATGATGCGACAGAAGAGAACAAATTCAAAACACTATTGGAAGTAAAGAATGTAGTTTGTGCTGACTTTCAAAAAGATATTGCACCCGAGAAAAGAAATCCTAATCACTGCGTGATTGTGTCGGAAGAAGATGGTGACAAGTATAAAAGGAATGCTATATTTCCGTGGGGTAAAATTGGTCAAACGTTTGAAGGAAAAAAGGTTGTTTCTGAGAGAGCAATAAAACATTTGCGCAACCTAGGAGATCTCACTTCCAAGAACAAAGACATCAAGGCAGTCATTTTATTTGTAATCAATAGATCAGATTGTGAAGAAATGAGAGCCTGCCATGAGCAATGCCCCGTTTTTGCAGAAGAGATGAAATCAGTGTCTTCAATAAAAGGCGTCACAGTTACAAGCTTTCGTGTTCGTTGGACTGAAGATGGCAAGGCCTACTTTGATGGAATAGTCCCTGTCTCTTTGTAATGCATATGTAAAAATCAAAGTAATGGGATCTAATGTAATACAGCTAAATAACTATATACTACTAATTGGTAATACTACACGGTCAATTCTTTCTTCTACATGTTTGAGTTCAATCCAAACATTTTTGATTCTTGACCTTTCTAAAAAGGAAAGCTACAACGTCAACACCATCGAAACAAGTGTGGTCTTTCCTTCAGTCCATGAAAATAAAAATATACATTCATCTACTCAGTACTATCACAAATTCCCGAACCTCCAAGAGCAAATTGTGCATCTGCTTCAGGCAATGTTGGAGAATCAACTACAGTCATGATACGGTTCTCGCCACGACCTTTTCTAAGGCGCAATCTAGTAGTGGATGCATGCGCCATAATATTGCCCCCAATAGGTTTGGTTGAGTCCTTGGCAAAACTCATGGCTCCTGGATCAGCTACAACTTGGTTGGTAACTAAAACAGCGCAGCCAAATTCAGACGCAAGTCTAGACAATTGTCTCAAAAATTGAGCAAGCTGCATCTGACGCTCTGACAACTCTCCTCTTCCTTGATAGTCTGTACGGAAAAGAGCTGTTGCACTATCCACGACAATCAATGCATATCTATCTTGCGAGAGAATTGCTCCAGCAGTCTTGAGGAGCTCCATCTGATGTTCAGAATTCTGAGCACGAGCATATGCAACATTTTCAAGCGCCGACGCAGGTTCAAGTCCGAATCTTTCAGCGATGGCACTAAGACGCTCTGGACGGAATGAACCTTCTGTGTCAATATACATTGCCTTTCCTTCCGCTCCTCCATTGTTGGCAGGCATTTGGCAGGTGATACAAAGAGTATGGCAAAGCTGAGTTTTACCAGTTCTGAATTCTCCATAGACTTCAGTAATGGATCCGGTTTCGATACCCCCTTCAAGGAGTTTATCTACCTCTACAGATCCAGTCGTAAGTAACACAATGCTCTTTCGGTCTTCAAGAGCATCCGCGGCAGTTTTGAAATCCATATCAGGAGCAAGATTCTTTGCTATATCTTTGAGTTTGGTTACTTTGGCTTCACTAATTCCCTTCACCTCTGCGAGCTTTCTACTTGTAGCGTGTGCAATAGACTCAATGGTATGATAGCCTGCATCACTGAGCTTCTGAATGTCATTTGCTGCTATACCGTGATCGGCAAGATTCTCTACAGCAGTATAAGCTACTCCAACCTTTGGAAAGGAGAGGTGCAATGACGCTTATGAGATTTCAATTGATTCGTGGATAGACGATGAGTTCACTAGTTCGGTCTACTTACCTGTTCTTCCTCTTGGCCTTCTAATGGCTCCGAATATTGTTGTTCTACTTGCATCATAGTGTCTATTGAGTCTTTTGAGTGATGGAGTGGTGAGGTGTAGAGGTCAAGAGGTTTAGCTTTTGAAATTCAAAAAGTTGTGATTATGGCATCAAAAGAGAGGCGTGGTTGGGATTGGAAATAAAGAGAAGATCGCGAGATCTTCTTTTGGAGACAGTCTGTGTTCCAGCTAAAATAGTAAATAGCAAGATTTTCTCTTTCTTCTTTGGGAAAGCAATGCTTTTCCTCATTACAACTGAAACTTGAAACTAATTCGTATGAAAAACAATTCTTTTAAATATAATTACATATCTTTAGTAGGATTTATTTAAATATGAATATAGTGAGGTTCCAAATTCATCAACATAATGAATTTTAAAATTTAGCTCCAAAGTGCCTTGGTCTTCTCTCCCTTGTTGTTGTAAAGATCGAAGGACAATGGCATGTAGTAATCAGTGAAACCTGGTGGGGTGTTGATCTGGATTCCTCCAAGAACAGCAATTTCTCCATCAGCAACTCCACCTGCTCCTCCCTCAACAATCTTGGTGATGAGCTCAGATTGTGCTCCGTAAAGTGCGTATGGAAGCTCAACCATCTTGTCATCAGCCTCCTCAAGTTGTTCAGCGTATGGAAGAAGCATCTTTCCTACGAAGTATTGCTGAGCATCAATTACATCCTCTGGAAGAGTAGCTGGCTCATCTCCCTTAAGTACAGATGCAACATATCCAGATGCTGCAACTGCGGATCCACAGCATGATCCTCCCTTTTCACGTCCACGACGCTCAACAGTTCCTACTGCACCAGTAGAGTCAACTCCAACGTGAGGTCCGTATACGCAAAGAGTGGATCCTCCGTCTGGGATGTGTGCAGCCATAGCTCCGAATGAAACAGCTCCTCCGAATGGGAATCCAGCAAGTCCTCCCATGTTGAAGTTGGTGTCGAACTTCTCGTTGAACTCAAGCTCAAGTGGTCTGTTTACTTCATCACAACACAAGGAAGTAGCTACAAGAGTCTTATCGGACTCGAATCCGTTGGAAGTAAGGGTCTTCTCAACCTTTGCAACAAGCTCAGCATTGGTAAGAGCTCCTGGGAAGATATCCTTTACCTTGTTGAATGGCTTCTCGTCGTTTGCAAGAAGATCATCTACAAGCTCTCCCTTGTTGTTGTAAAGCTCGAAAGAAAGTGGAAGGAAGTAGTCGGAGAATCCCTCTGGGGTATTGATTTGGACTCCTCCAAGAACAGCAATGTTTCCATCAGCAACTCCTCCAGCAGAAGCAGATACAATGCGCTCTACCATATCGGATTGTGCATCGTAAAGTGCGTATGGAAGCTCAACCATCTTGTCCTCAGCAGCTTCAAGGCGCTCAGCGTATGGAAGAAGCATATCTCCAACGTATGCCTGCTGTGCGTGAACTGGATCATCTGGGATAGCAGCCTTCTCTGCCTCTCCAGAAAGAACAGATGCAACATATCCAGATGCTGCAACTGCGGATCCACAGCATGATCCTCCCTTTTCACGTCCACGACGCTCAACAGTTCCTACTGCACCAGTAGAGTCAACTCCAACGTGAGGTCCGTAGATCATAAGGGTAGATCCTCCGTCTGGGATGTGTGCAGCCATAGCTCCGAATGCAACAGCTCCTCCGAATGGGAATCCAGCAAGTCCTCCCATGTTAAAGTTATTGGTGTATACTCCAGCAAGATCGGTCTCAAGTGGTCTGTTTACTTCATCGCAACAAAGGGAGCATGCAACAAGGGTATTGTCACGGTCGTATCCGTTCTCTGCAAGGGTAGCATCAATCATAGATACAAGCTCTTGGTTGGTAAGAGCTCCTGGGAAAGCCTCAACAGCCTTTGGGAAAGGAGTAGTTGGAGAAGCAACCTCTACTGGAGCTTGGTCAAGTCCAAGTCCGAAAGTAGTTGCTCCCTTTCCTACAGCCCATTCAACCTTTCCTCCTGCCTTGGTGGTTGGTCCAGAAAGAAGGGAAAGCATCTTGTCCTTGCTCAAAGACTTTCTCTTAAGGAAGGACATCTCTGGGAAGGATTCCTTGATCATTTGGTTGAGCTCCTTGTTGGTTTTCTCAGCAAGAGCATCTCCAGCCATACGAAGTCCAACAGAACGAGCTGGAGCAACATTAGCTGGTGCAAAAGCAGCAGCTCCGGAGAGGGAAGCTACAAGAAGTGGAAATGCAGAGATCTTCATTTTGGTGAATTGATGGGATGTAAAACTATGATAAGATGAGAGGATGTGTTTGTGTTCTTTTCCTCGATGTGATGAAAAACTCTCGAAACTTTGATTTCACAGTGACGTCACAATGGAATTGCTCTCACTATGCACGCAGTAGTAGTGATGGCAGAGAGGTCTTTGAGTACGTCAGCAAGATCTCTTTTCATATTCTTCCTATTTCTTTTGTTTTTTGAAGAGTGACGCAAGAGTTACGCAAGAGTTACGTGTACAATTTCATTTGAATCCCAACCATAAGTGGTTATTGATGGTAAGCACAAAGCGACCAAAATGATGATATGAAATAAAACATGTACCAATGATCATTGTAGTTTTGAAATAACATCATAGTAGGAAAGTTGTGCATCAATATTTTAGTATTGCATTAAATTTATTCAGAATGAAAGTCAAACAAAACTTTTACCTTATTAAATGATAGTATCTACAAGCACTTCTTGAAGCACATAAAAAAGTAGAAACAGATTTCCAAAAATGTACTCAATGACAAATTTGAACTCGATTTTAAGAGATAGCAAGATATATATCTATAAAAAGAACACATAGGCATGAAAAAATTGAAAGAGTGCAAGAGATATAAGAAAAAGAGGTATGCAAAAGTGTGATGCAAGGACTTTGTATTCTTTATGTCAAGTAGCACTTCTGACGTTTAGAAGGTGGGCTTAGCTCAGTTGGTAGAGCGTCTGCTTTGCATGCAGAAGGTCACGGGTTCGATTCCCGTAGCCTCCAGAGAAATTTTGTTTGGGGAGGATGTATCAACTCTAAAATTCTTTTTAAATGTGTAAACGAACAATGTGTAAACGAAGACTTCTCAGTCAGTGTTCTATTCACAAATAGTTGTGGTCCTTCTTGTCCATTGCTTTCTTCTTTTTGACCATTGGTACGTTTCTAGCTATTTTTAGGTAAAGATTTAGAAATATGAGCTAAGTTTTACTTTCACTTGTTTAACGGCAAACTAACCATCGTTATTTTTGTCATTTTTTTGCAACTTTCATTATACGCACAGATGAAATGAGACATATTGCAGCAAAGTTATGGTGCGTTGAGCGTTGAATCACACACAAAACTAGCAAGCACATTCATTTACGAATTGCAACCAACTTAGTTAAGGGGCACTTATAGTACTAGGGATATGATGACAATCCACAACCTTTCAAGGTTTACATTTTAGAAAACATCATAACAAAACTATCCGCTCTCGCTCTTTTAGAATTGCAATTGAAATAGATAGGTGATCCTCAGCAGGAGGAGAGACAACTAGTAACAGATACTAGTCATAATGAAAATAAGAAGAGAAGTACTCCAGAATCATCGTAGTGATCAACTTTCCGACATTACAGATAGCGATCACGCTTTTCATGAGACCAACCCTCCTGTTGACGAAGAGGAAGATGCATCAAGTTCTTCCATTGACGAGGATATCTATTCCACAAGTGACTCTATTTCATCTCATGAACAAAACACCAATAAAGAAGTAGCAATAGGAGTGACACCCACTCCATCTCTTGGCTATGATTTGTCGGGTAGTAATTTTGCGCCGCAGGAAGAAGAAGAAAAGACGGAGGTCGAAGACTATCGCAATGAAGGTAATGGAAGTACACCTAGTTATCTCGATAACGGCAGAGTGGCTGCTGTGAATCAATCATCGTCACAAACAACTCAGCCAGAAGTAAAAATTGTACACAGTGAAAAGGGATCATCATTGCATGAGGTAGAAGAAGGTGATCAAGGTTCTGCAACATCTTCTCCAGATGTTGGTGCTGGTGACAAAAAGAAAGAGAAATCTAGGGTAAAGCTTTATCTTCAGGTATGCGGCATTATATCAATTATAGGGGTCGTAATGTTTGTTGTCCTGGTTTTAATAGCCATAAAGTCAGATAAGATCGCATACCACAATTAAGGATTGAATGTGTTTGATTGAGTATTAAGCAATCCCAACTTTAATAGTGATTTATTTTTAAAAATAAATGTAATAAATGTGCGAGTTATGTTTTTTTCAAATGAAAATGAGCTACAAATTGCTACAGCATTTTGAACGTGAAGATTTAGAAATGTGAGTTCAGTGTTGCAAAGCATTTCTCATTAAATAACTATTGAGAGGAGAGAAAGACACAGTTATTGCGATTTTAATTATTTACATTCATTGATATTGTCTTCGGCTTTTAAAGGCAATGGTTCATCAAAATAAAATTAGAAAGTCAGTCCATAGCTACGGCAAAGCAGTATTTAGTTTCCAAACATGAATTTCTTGTAAAGAGCAACTTCCTCTGAACTTCCAAAACATACTCCCAGTCTTCTATCCAAATGATCAATCTTTTCATCCAAAACACTTCCATCGTGAGCCTCGTGTGTTGTAAGGCCACCTGCACATTCTACAATCAATCCCATAGGAGCAACTTCATACAACAGTCTCAATTTCGCCTTTGCCTTTTCTGAACTAACATTTGTAAATACTCCTTTTGACTTTGCAAAGATATGGTATACATCAGGAACCATTCCTCCAGTGTATCGAAGAGTATAGCGTTCAGAGATCCAATGTTTAATCAAAGCATTGTATTTCTCGTTATCATTGGATGCTCGAAGATTACCTGGAGCAAATACCTTTCCTTCAGCTTTAATCGTAATTTGATCTCTGGAAACCTCCCACATACTTCCATCCTTGGTCAAAGTTACTTCAAATACAACATCTTTTCCATAATCTGTTGACTTGGAAGGAAGTGCAATACAAAGAGTAGTTCTTGGTCCATACAAAGTCACAGCTGATGCAACTTGTTCACGTCCAGTTCTATTCAAAACTCCTTTGCCTTCCCAAATTCCAAAAATACTTCCAACACTGAAATTCGCATCAATGATACTTGATCCATCAAGTGGGTCAAATCCCAAAGAAAAGAAACCCTCCTGATCATCTCCTTCAGGTGAAACATCGGTCTCAACTGGTGTTTCTTCACTTGCTGCAATAGAGAAAACGCCAGATTCACGGATAGCTTCAAAGATTGCATTATCACAGTCAATATCAAGGTGCAGTTGTTCATCTCCTGACTGATTCTGGGTTCCTGCATAAGTGTGACTGATATAGTTTTCCAACAAATGTGTGATTTTGTGCGATCCTTCTCCAAGATAGACCAAGGCCTTCAAAAGGTTCGCATCCTTGACCTTGTAGTCCTCAAGAATTTTTGTAAGAGTCTCAATACGTGTCATATTCTTTGCTATGATTGTGGATTGTAGTTAGTGAAGCTTATTTCCAGTGTAGGTTGCAACAATTTTTCGTAAACATGCAATAAATCGGAAAAGAAAGAAAAAAGTGACGACGTCGGATCATTGGATCTCAGTTCATTCATTAACCGTCTCGTGTAAGGAGATATTGGTGTCGAAAATAGCCTCTTTTATGACTCATCAGGACCTCTCATCATCATTGGCAATTGCAAATAATGAAACAAAAGAAACAACATTTTGGAAAGGCCAAAGAAGCAGCGATGTATTGAATGCGAGACAAGCCATCTCAGCCGAAACTAATATATGCGCTCATTTCATCAACTAGACTGATTCCCATACACAGGTTTTCTTCGAGCTACTACGTATTCGCAAAGACTAAAATGCATTTGAAACAAATTTCTATTGGATCATGTGCAAAAATTCTTGAAAGAAAACAGATTTTAAGAACATCGGGATGTACACAGCATGATTTCTTTTTACAAACAAGATCATTTGGTAGTAGAAACAATAGACGCGATCAAGAAAACAAAGCGAGAAAGAAAAAGTTTTTTTCGGAAAGATCGGGTCCAGCTTTTGCACAACCTGACAAGGGTCTCATTCTTCCACCAAAAGGAGTGATTCTAGAAGAAGATTCTCAAGAGCATAATGCAAGAATTGTCAATAGCTTAGACAACAATGATTCTTCATTTCAGCCACTCATGGATGATGGATTGAAACAAGCTGATGCACTTAGATCAGAGTTAATGGATGAAAACTTGGATATGAACCTTTCCAAATCTTTTTCAAGTCCATCATTACCAGATATGATTGATTTGTCTTCCATGTACGATCCAAGAATTCATTTACCACTGAAACCGAATTTTGCAGATCCGTCCAAGAACTATGAACCAGCTACCCTACTAGGTGAAGAATTAATGAAATATATTGGAGTATTAGGTGCACCCATTACGGTTGCTGAATACATGAAGAGATGTTTGAGAGATGAACGATTTGGTTATTATACAAATCCTCCGTCGAGTATTGATGATGATTTCGACGATGACAATTTCGACAATGATGGAGAGGGTAGAGGACACCGACTGATTGGACAAGCAGGTGACTTTACAACCGCTCCAGAGATTTCACAAATATTTGGTGAATGTTTGACTATTTGGTTGCTAACTCAGTATGAAGCCATTGGAAAACCATCCAAGATACAATTGATTGAGTTGGGACCAGGAAGAGGAACTCTTATGAGTGATATCATTCGAAGTGCAAAGAATATTAAAGGTCCAGGTCATGAATTCATCAATGCTCTCAGTTCGGATGGGGTGGTAGGTGAAAATGGTACCATCAGTGGAGTACATGTTGTAGAAGTATCAGAAAATCTGAGGGTGACTCAAAGAGAAGCACTTCAAAAATTGCAAGAATCAAGTGATAGCAAGTTTACATTTATCCAGTGGAAATCCCAAGATGAAAAAATGAAGGACATGGAGCAAATAATGTCCAAACTTCGAGAAAAGAAAAATAGCGGTGAAAATGTGGACACTGAAACACTCGCAAAAATTTTGGAAGAAGAAACCAAGAGAAAATACGAAACCGAGAATATTGAACAAATAGCTACAGCCTCTTCTACGATTCCCGTACACTGGCATGACAATCTAAATTCTGTACCATACAAAAAGGCGAGTGAATCCAGTCAGTCTATTCCCACTTTTATCATTGGACAAGAGTTCCTTGATGCTTTACCTGTACATGTATTTCAAAACTCTGAACAGGGTTGGAGAGAGCATATGGTTGATGTAGCAGTAGAAGATGATGAAGACGATGAAGACAAGGTTGAAGTTCAAATGAGAGATGGTACTATCGCAAAAACATCAACTATGAAGTCATCGAAAAACAGTATTACTGATGATGAGACAAAGAAGAAGCCGCGGTTTAGGCATGTATTGTCACCAGGTGTCACACCTGCATTGCGCAATCTCCTTCATATTGATGACGATGGCAAGCCTATTGGTACTGCTGAGCAAAGGAAACTTTTAGATGATGCACCTGTAGGTACAATTATGGAGGTTTGTCCGGAAGGTCTCTCTCTTATTCAAGATGTTGCACTTCGAATCGAAGAATGTAGAGGTGCTGCATTAATGATTGACTATGGTAACGAAGGTAGTCGCGATACGCTTCGAGCATTCCGCAAACATGAGCAGGTGGACGTCTTAAGTAGCCCTGGTACAGTTGATCTCACTGCAGATGTAGATTTTAGTGCTTTGAAAAATGCAGTTAATCGCGACTTATCAAAAACGAGAGAGAAAATGACATCGTCCGAAACTCTAGCTAGTGCGGACAATCTGCCACAAGCCTTTGGTCCCAAGACACAAGGGGCATTTTTGGCATCGATGGGAGCAGTGGAAAGAACGATCAAACTGATAGAAGATGACAATACAACCGACGAACAAGCAGAAGATTTATGTGCTGCTCTTGAGAGATTGGTTTCTGAAGAGGAGATGGGAACTCGTTTCAAAGTGCTTGCAATAGCA